TCTGTTTTATATTAAAAAAAACGTTGTTTTGTAAAAAAAAAAAAAGCTATAAAAATAAAACAATCCTATGGGTCAAACCATCTCAGTTGACACAAGTGTCATTCCATCATTCATTGTTGTCCATATCTCTTTATTCCATTCTTTTGATTTTTCATTAAGTGAGATATCTAAAACTCGACAATAGTTCGCTATTTGAGAGTACTTCATTCTCATAATGTCTGCTCAATACCTTTTTGTTCTTCATTAATATCACTTCATTATTTGTGCGGTCTATTTTAATATACATAAATGTAATTTTTTATTTTATTTTCTATGATTGTTATTTTTGCTAATGACGTTGACAAAAATGAGCAAACACATGAATTTGGAGGGTCGGTCAAAATGAGTCAACAACGTGAGTTTAGATGATTGACTAAAAGGAGCTAACACTGAGTTGACACAAAAGGATCTCAAATCTCTCTTTAAAATAACCACAATTCATTGTAAATATTTCATATCTTTATCAATTTGAGATACACAAACTCAACGACAATTCAAAAAATAAAGAATACTCACTTTTTAAGATGTCACATCATTTTCTATTGAATTAATGTAACAATAAGTGGGCAGAAAAATAGAAAAGCGGAGGTTATTAAGAGGGTGTTTGAGATTATTTATTTGAAACAACTTATGCTTTTCTATAAATTTTTTTTATCAACTTATTATAAATTAGAATGATACAATTTCTTAAAAGACTATTTATTGCTATCAGTATAAACTATTTATCTAAACGCTCAAAAATACTTATTACTGATATAATACTGAAATAAATTAATAAATTATTTTTATAATCAAGTGTCAAAAAGTTTGAGTCGCCAATTACACGTGGACCCACCTTTGTCTTGTTTGCGAGGCGACACCACTGTTCCACTCCACCGATAAACAAAATCTTTTAATATTTTAATAAATAAGTATTTAATCATAAATAATTTCTCCATAAAAACAGCTGAGAAAACCAAACTCGTCCGAAAATCAGAATCCCTCTTTTTTCTTTCTCCTCTCACCACCGGAGTTTTGTCGTCTATGGCGATGCCCAGAAATCGACGGACAACTTCCCTCCGAGACTCCGACAGTCGACTCGGTGACTCAGACAAGATTGAAGGAGCCGGTAGTTGGGACGCTATTGAGTGGACCAAGATCGATGTAAAATACTCTTCTTCTGCCCTCTGACCCTAGGGTTTTATTACTCATTTCGTCTACGTCACGACAGGACAAATGTAATTTCGATTTTGTGTAATTGATTACATTTTTTTGTCAATTTGTTTTGTTGAATTCACAGCAGCCTGTTTCAAGGCCTGTTCCTCATGGATTATCTGATTTCTTGTACGAAGCTGAGGAGGTTCTCGCTGAGGTAAGATTTTGACTTGAAATTTGATTTCGAATTGACCAATTCTTGTATGTGTTTTTATGGTTATATAGATGCTTTGCATATTAGTTCATCCCTCTCCGCAAAACTTCGATTTAGCGCGAAACCTAGTACATTTGGAATGCGATCTTGATATGGAATCTGTTCTAAATTTAAAACCAACTTATTGTATTTGTACATTTGTAGTTCTTGCTATGAAGTTCAATTTGTTAGGAATCTTCTCTAGAAAATTTTGTAATTAATCTCAGTTTTTAAGTTAATAATAACCCATTTGTCATCCAAAGTTAAATTGTGGCATGTTTTTTAACGGAGGTATTAACTGCTCTATGACTATTTATCTATGCGTTTGAAGACAATATCAAAGTTGCAACTTTGGTTGTGGGACTGATATGATATCATTTTTCATTTTATTTTCCTTGCTATAGATGAGTAAAAGTTTACTTTATTGTTATGGTGTCTAGGTGGACTTTAGTTTGAACGTCTCTCTTAGAGTGATTCAATAGGACACTATGTATGATACATGGTAAAAGAACGTGTGAATATTTTTATCCTTCTTCATTACACTGTCCTGTTCTCGAATGGCATGGATACTTTTGGGAGAAGAAGTAGAGTTTAGATGTATCTTGCACATTTTGATATTGGAAGTGTCTGTAAGAATGCAGTCCTTTTCTGTAACATTGACCATTTACCATGCATTATTTTGGTACTTTCCTTTTCTGTCTGATGTGTGTTGTGACAATTGCTTATATATGTCATGCTTCCTAGGCTGAAAGAGTTGACCAATGTCATGTTTTATAAACAAAATCAAGACATATATTAGCAGTAAAGTTATTAGCAAAGCTTACAACACAGTTGTTCATCTTCTCTTGCGTCCATGCCGGCCGAGCACACTTGCTAGTAGAGGTGGGTGGTGTTAAAGGTCCAATGATCATCGACAAGCCTTTGTCCTTAAACACCATAAGTAACATTGCAAAGGAATAACATCAATCGCACCTGATGGTCCTATATAATGAGCAATTTCGAAGAGCTTTATGATGTGCAATATGCAGGACCTGTTGATACCAAATCTTTTATGGATCACATAAAAATTGTAACCCCAAGTTTTCTATCAAGATGACCTTTGATGTTGAATTTCTTGTTTGTTATGTGGTCTAATGATGAACATTCAGTCCTCAGTCTGTGGCATTATCACATTTATTCCAGTGAGAAACCATATGGAGAGCTTATGCATAATCACAAAAGAGAGATACTAGTAGCCACATCCATTCCAGTGCCTTGGTAGTAAATCAGCTGTACTTAAATAATTATCGTCAAAGCTGGTTGCAATGATGTGTATAAATTGATTGAGAACACTGAAAATATATGAGAGGCCGGAATGTTTTTGAATTCGACTTGTTTGAGTTTAGAGCGTCCTTGTTTTCTGCATCTCTTCCTACCTTCCCCCTCATTGTTCTCTGTTTCTGAATCTATCTTCATATGACTCTGTTTTGAGCATTTTACAACACTGATTTTTGTTATGAGTATGCTTTTCTGAGTTTATGAACTTTGCTTTTAGGGGTATGGCGTTCTTGTCAACACTGATGAAGCAGGTACCTTGTTCGTGACCAGTTTTCGTCTTCTTTTTTTGGTAAGTTGTCCATTTACTAAACCTTTTGGTTTCTGCACTCCTTTCACATGGCAGTAGCATATACTCATACTTTTGGTTGGAAGTTTAAACATGATGGACCTGAATATTCTATGAAAATGTAGAATGTTCATTCAAAATTTGCTCCAAGATCCAACAATAAATTTGGTTGACATGAAACCTTGTGTCATATTATTTGTTTCTTGTTTGTCCGAAAGCCCATGAAAGCAGTCTAAATCTTTACAAACAACCATCCATGTATGGGATGGTCCAGAAAAGTTCATATTCTCTAATAGTGCATACAAAAAGAATTTTCTTGACTTGCCATCCTCCAAAAGGGATTTTTCCATCTTTAATTATTCTGATCAGGGATGGTGCTATGGAGGCACCAATGGTTTTAGTTAATCATTGTTCTATTTATTTGACGAGAAATCTGAAACGAGAAGCATATTTTTTTTTGAAAAAGGAATGGAACCTCCTGGAATCTCCACGTTCTTGGAATTTCTACTTAGACGGTTTTGTGGGAATTTATTACAAAAAACCGAGTCATTTTCATTTGGTGAAATCCAATACAAGAATGATACAAACATCATTTAAAAGCACTTGGACAATAATATGCAATTTGAAAGCTACTTGATAACAATATTTGGGTTGTTTACTCAACATTGTGTCACCAAAAACATGTATACATCATGTGGTAATATTGATTTTCATGGTCTCTGTACTGCTTCCCTATAAGACAGCATGTAATATTTGGTTATATGAACCATATGCATCTAACCATATGTGAACTTCCTTCTATATCTGATATCTATTTTTATTTGTTCTTTCTTTTCTTTAAGAGCGAAGGATCCAGGGATATTATCGCATTAGGAACTATACCATTGGCTACCATTGAAAAGTTCAACAAGATTGTAAGTTATGCATTTTTTTTTTATAGATTTGGTCTGACATTACAGCTTCTATAGTGCTGTATCATTTCTTCTTCTAATAATTATTACTTTTGTGCTATCGAGTTATAAATTAGGGCTTTTGGGGAGGTTGAGAGGTTATCTTAGTGGTACAATAGCTTTGTAACAAGTTGTTAACAAGTGATAAAAATGAGGTCATAGAAGTACTAGGTAAAAAGGGAAATGGACAAAAAAATGATTAAAAGGGGCAGCTCATGCTTGAACAACAATTCTTACTCTACTTGTGAACCCAACTCAAAATTTTACCCATGATGGTTCGAACACTACTAAAATTCTCAATCTAATACTTAATTGGTCTTGAATTCAAAACGAAGTTGTTGAGCCAATGAGCCGTAACTTTCATGACAATAGCGTTGGAGAACCATAAAAGGAGAAATTCTAAAGCCAAGGATTAAGAAGAAATGGCACTAACTACTAACTAGTAAGGGTGTTTGGGACTAAAATTAAGGACTAAATATACCACAGTTAAAACCAAGGCCTAAAGAACCAATGGTAAGGGTGCTCCAATTTTTGATGTCTTTGAACATAGTTACTCACCACTTATCCCAAGCATGGAAACTTTAAAATTAAAATAGTCGAGGCCATGCCCAATGAGTAGGGATTGAACAATCTGTTAGGAATCAACGAATGTTTTTGAAGAAACAAGAACCCGATAAGGAGGAATCAAGCAATGGTCTGTTAAGCTCTAGGCGATCAGCTGAGCTCCTAGCGCTTAATTGGTTAAGGAGGGGGGGGGGTTAAGTGGTTGTAGTTTGAATGTATAAAATTTGTCAAAGTAATAGTTATAGTGAAGTTTATTTGTTTTGGATGTAGAGATCTAAGTTCAAGGGACCTCATCTATTGTTTCTAGATCTTGCATCATCATGTATCCTAGCTTCAGATTCCATTGAATCGTTTTCGATTAATATAGTTGTATTTTCTTTTGACAAAAAAATGAAGTTTATAGGATAATTACGAAAAAGCGATACTAATTTATAAATTTATAAATTTATTTTTTATAAAAAAGTAAAACCTAAAAAGAAATGAGTAAGAGTAGTAACTGATTTAGTTATAAAATTATTCCACTTTGCATTGACACTAAAGTACTCACATCTATGGGTTGGAGAAAAAGATGAACTGCTACAATACTAACTTTGTGCCTAATACCCAAGGTGTTGGCGAGACCCAAGTTCAAGCCATGCCAATGACTCTCCTTGTGCCGAGCCATGCTCACCTTCCCGAAGGAAGGGAATCTGCCTGTTCAAGTGCGTGGGATAATTGTTTAATAAACGAATGATATACTCTCTGTCTTAGAAAACTGCAACATTTGAATTGAGATGCAGTTTAAAAGAAGTCTTTGAATAATATGAATTACGTAAATTACCCCTGGATTAGACAAAATATAGAGAATTTGCGGGCCATAGTCATCTCACTAATATCTTGTAATGGTTGCGAATTGGCTAATAGGTAAAAGCGAATTGAAATCTTACTAAAAGGAAATGTTGCATTTCTTTTGGCACTCCAAAATAGGAAGTGCTGCATTTTAACAGAGGGAGTAATATGATTTATACCAAAGATTGAATTAATCAAAATACAAGTCAAGACTCTGAGAAGTTTAGGTTACCTTGTTGGAAGTTTGCTGTCTCTCCTAGAACTCTTTGTTTCCTGACGTTGCTCTTTCTAGTTTCTATATGATATTTTGTTATTTCTATATATTTATAGGGACTAGTGAGAAGTGCCCAGCTGTAGTTAGGAGCCTTACCAACATTTCATCCCTATCTGTCTGTCCAACAATCGGATAGCATTAAAAACAACTATAGTTAGGAGCCTTACCAACATTTCATCCCTATCTGTCTGTCCAAAAATCAGATAGCATTATAATTTTTATCTATTTCAAATCTTCATTTTAATCTTATTCTAGCAAATAGCCAATTACCCAGCAAGCTAATCTATTTCAAATCTTCATTTTAATCTTATTCTAGCAGTTAGCCAATTACGCAGCAAGCTAAACCATAAGTAATTGACAACTATAATATGATTTCGAAAGGCCAATTATTAACTCACTTGTACACTATTTTCTACCCCTAGCAGATGATTGTATAGCCATTGTAAGCAATATTCATCTTCTTAACCTCAAATTTCTAAATATCATCATCATGACAACTACTCCACTTTCTAAATATCATCACCAGGTTGAAACCTTCTATCAGTATGTGAAACAATGTTAGATAACTACTTTAACTACCTGAGTTACAGTTCATGGTAAGTCGCTTCAATCTTTTATTTGCTACAAGACTCTTCAGGTGCTGCTTTCCTGTCCAAGCTCTTCATTCTCTGACGTTGCCATACTAGTGATTTGCACCCAAAGGGGATTGTGACTTACTACATAGTGGTCCTTCCATTGAATGTAGTCAGTTAGGAAGTGTTTGCCACTAAATCCTTTTCTCTTGAAATGCCTATGCACCTACACAACAGATTGGCGTTATTCAGCTTTTTCTATCATGTTGGTATGCTATGGAAATATGTAGTGGATTAGACGCTTCATTTGCTAATGCACCAATTCTATCGTATCTTAAGCTACTTTATTATCTGCGAGTGTGTGTCAATCTTGCTCTCATTCATCAGCAATTATTTTTCTGTGGAAGCATAATTTTCGGTTTTTGATGCTGGATTACTATCTCTTTCTTTCATGGTATACTGATTTTATCTTCAATCTATTGTGAGGATATAGATAATAAAGCAGCCATCAGGTCCAAGGCAATCTGAGAAGACTCCCACGCGAAGGCTTCTTCAGGTCATTGGTATGGTAGACTGCCTTCATTTTTGTAATATGATACTCGGGTACATGTATGTCTGACTTCATTGCTTCACTTGATAATTATTTCTAAGTTGTGTTTTTTAGAGACTTACTAATTGCATGTCTATCCTGATAAATAATCTGTGAAAATGGTATTGGTGCTGTATAGCTAATGCTGATAAGTTGAAGATTAGGTTTCAAGAGTAGGGATGGCAATGGGGCGGGGATGGGGCGGGGACCCCAATACCCATCCCCGTCCCCGATCCCCATATGTATCCCCGTCCCCGTCCCCGTCCCCGCCGGGGATTATGATCACATCCCCATCCCCGTCCCCAACGGGGAACGGGGATCCCCAACGGGGAAACGGGGATTTTTTTTAWAAACCAAAAATTATAAAACATCACATTAAGATATCACTTGGCCTCATAAAACACTTGGAATGCACAAGCACATGATGGTAAAAGGTAAATATACTGATCAAACCCACATTTTTGAAAGAGATGAATGCATTAACATCAGGTGCCCTCAATGACTAATAATTGAAATGCCCATCAAACATTCTGTATGTKATTCAATTTTTTGATTGTGATTGATCAAAAATTGTACTTCGCAGAACAYTGGGATAACATAAAGATAAATCCATCATGAGATATATATGAATCAAATTTAACACAGACTAATCTCATTTATTACTTCTGAAACCTTTATGTCCCTTGTTAAAGAACATGTGAAGTAATAGATCATTAGAATGATGAGAACTAAAATCCATGGATGTCCAGAAGGTGCATATAAATTCCCTAACATGATCTAGAACAACACATAATGACACCCCTTAAGCCTATAGCAGT